AGATCCATCCCCGGCCCCCCTGGGCTCTCCCTGGAATCTTCCTTTTGCTGAGAAACCAGGAAAATGCAGAGCCTCTAAGTCAGCTTCCTTGGGAAGGCCTCAGGGGACCAGGGAGGAGGAGCTGGTTGCCACAGAAGCTTTTAAAGGTACCTGCTCCAAGCTGGCCAAGGTTTGCAGAGGGCTTCCTTGGCAGGAGGTGATGGGAAGATTCTCCCGAGGGTGTCCCTCTGGCTGGCCTGTGTGCCCCAGGGCGGGGCCATAAAGCTAACTTCCCTTTCCAGGGACTTCACTGCTCCCGGGATGCCAGGCCCTGCCTTCCTCAGTGGGTACTGGACTATGCAGAGGACAGTGCCTGGTGTGCCCACAGCAGTGCTCACTGGGCAGAGGGGAAAGAGTTAAGGTTCAGGATCAGGCAACAGCCAGAGACTCCCTGGGGGCTAAAGAGGCCCCAGAGCTCTCTTAATTCGCTGAAAGAACAGCTGGAGAGAAAGGCTTGGGGCAGGGGGTGACAAGAGCCACCCTGCCTCCTTCCCTGAACTCCCTTTCAGTGTGGAACCCCCAAATCCTGCTATCCCGAGAGAGAAAATGGGTACATCTGGCTCTTTGCTTTGCTCCTATGCGTGGGTGGAGAGGGGAACGGCATCCCGGGATGTCCTTGGCCTCTGTCAAACCTTGCCCTGTGCTTGGCTCTACTCTGGGCCATGAAAGTCCAAACCGGAAACGAGCGGCTAAACCCAAGGGTGGGGGAGGGGGAGGCAGCCTTGACCATCTTCCTCCTTCTTCCCAGATCCCAAAAGAAGCGGAGAGTCAGTGGCAGCCTCTTTGAGAGTGCCCAGCACCCAGGATCCCTGCTAGCTAGCAACAGGAAGTGGCAGAGGATGGTAACCCAGCCAGCTGCTGGCCTATACAGCCTGCCGCCCTGCCCAAATCTCCCATACGGGGGGTGCCAGCTCCCACTGTGGTCCAGATTCCATTTGGGCTCATAGAGAAAACTCCTTGACACCCCTGGAAAAGCCGGGGCCACAGCAGAAGGCAGAAATCTAGAAACTCGCCCTGGGAATGGGGAATTGCAACAGCAGAATATCAATTTGGGCAAGGGGCTCGAGGGTCTCCCTCGGAAGGAGCCCAGCCTCAGAACCCCCTTCCTCCAGACAACAATCTCAGACCCTCTGCCCTTTTGAAATCTGGCTGTCCTGGGAATTCTGGGGCAGGAATGCCCAGCCTGGGCTGGGCCCCCTACTCGAGGCTGGCTGATTCCTCCAGTGGAGCGTGGATTCCCTCCTCTGGGCTTACCATGCCACAACTCTGAGCTGGACCCCAACACTGGGATGGCTCATCCCACAGTCTGAGCTGAAACCCAACACTGGGATGCACCTCTCCACCACCCTTGTCTGAGCTGGCCCCCCTGCTGGGTGGACCATCCTCCCTTGTCTGAACTGGGCCACCGATCCCCTGTTCTTCCCCAGTCCGCACAGCCTGGGGCTATACAGGAGGCGTTTCCAGGGCCAGCCAGGGGTTCACATCCTCCTCCTCTTCGCCTGTGCCCCAGACCCCTCTGCAGCCCCTCCCTGACTTGAGGGGCAGCGTGTGCCTGGGAAGTTGCTATAGTAACAGGGCTCAGCCTCACCATCGCTGGAGTTGGAAGCCATCACTCAGTCCTGTTCTCAGGGCACCGGGACTACGGTGGCTGGGAAGGCTCATGAGACCTACCGTGTCTGCCGGGCTGTCCATCCCCAGAACCCTCCCTGCAGGGGGAGCTAGGGAGACGTGGGGTGGGATCAGGAAGAGAAACCCAACCCAGAGGCCACTAGGGTGCAGAGGAGGGACAGATAGGACCCTCCAAGTTTCTGTAGACGTGGTTGCGCTAAGGGGAGAGCTGCCTTGACAAGACCCTCTTGGGCACCCATACAACTGCCAAGGCACAGAAGGGGTTTGACCGTCTTAGGCATCCATAGGATGTTACATGGCACTAGTTCTTCCCATCTAGGGTCTTCTTGGGGGGTGCTTTTCTCTCTTTGCCGGGATCTGCTTGTGTCCCGGGGATGGGCGGGGGGCTCCCTTTTACCAGCTCTGCCTCTTCCCCTATGGGCCAGCTCCCAGGGGTATCTTCAGTCAGTGCCAGCCACGACCTGAGCCCCACTTGGCTGTCTGACCTGGGCGCCTGCCCTCTGGGGCCGCTGCTCCCTTTCCATTCTTCGAACCTGGCCAGCATCTGGGACTTAGTCTTTTTTCTCGGCCCTCTCAGCTCTCCCAATGGCTTTGCCATCTTTGGGTGTAGATTCTCCCCATTCCACTCCAGGGCTCATTCTGGATCCCTGGCCTCTTGGGAGGAGGCGGAGTCTGTCCTGCCCTGGCAGAGATGGTACCACAGGGGACTGCAGGATGCTTAACTGGTGCCTCCCAAGGCTTGGGCATTTTCCTGACCCCAGTCGGGCCGGCGTCTGGCAGACGAAATCCAGGTGCCCCCTGCAGGCTGGCCTGGCTACTGCCCCCGCCCCTGCCCCACCCTTGTAAGAAGGCAAATTTTGTCTAACTCTATCCTCTCAGAATCAGAGCGCCTCAAAGCAAAGATGGACTTCCTTCCTCATCTTATTTCCTTCTCTGGAAGCCTCTGGGAGGAAGTACAGCTTCGGGCGTTTCTCAAAGTGTGACATGGTCCCATTGGCAGAACATGACATGATTTTCGGGATGTTTCATTTATCTAGTTACACTGTATTTAATGTGTATCAGAGAAAATATAACTGGCATAGCAATCCCATGATTTCATTTATATTATTGTTTAGAATGAGCTCCAAGTTTACATCTGAACAGAAGTGAGTAAAATTTTTATTATTTTAAATTAAGAAAATATGATAGAGTAAAAATCTGGGAGGCTGCTGAAAAATGTCAGAGTCGGGAAATTCTGGGGTCCAAGAAGTTTGCTGGTAGGTGGATCTGGATGTGAATCCTGCCTCTGTGACATCATCTATGTCATGGCTGTCATTTCTGCCAGAGGGCTCCTTTGGAAAATTTGGATAACAGCCCGTTATGAAAGTCACTAGAGTAGATATATCTATCTGCCTGGCCATTTAGCCTGTGGCACAGCCTAGATGCCCAACAAATAGTAGCTCTATTTTACCGTGATCATTCATTCCTGGGTGTCTGACCTGTGCTCTGAGAGAATCAGTGGTTCCTTCCAGAGCCTCTGTTCTTTTTCTTGGGATCCTTTTTCTTGTGCAGCTTTCCACCCGCCACCACATGTGTCTGATAGCCTTGAAGGTTTTCCAGGACTGTCATCTCCCCAACTTTCACCTGAGCCACCGTAATACATAGCTGCCTGCCTCCACCTTCCACCTCCCAGCTGGCCTCACCTGCTGGGGGCCTGACTCCTCCCCCTCTGCCAAGTCCCCTCCAAGCTCATGCCCAGACCTTTTTTGGACACTACCCACCTGCTCCTCTGTCATCAAGCACTCAGCTACAGGCACTTCCCTCCCCAGCCCCCGCCCATTGGTGACATGTCAGGCCTCTTCATGATTGCTCTGTAACTCTGAGTTCTGCTATCTGAATCCGTATAGGAATAAAGTTCCCTGGCTTTCATACCTTTCTGGGAGGGGGCAGTCAGGGAACTCAGATGCTGGGGTTTGAGACCAAAAACTGGCCTTCCTTTTCGACTAACAGTTCTGACTATTTCTGGGTAAGTGGACAGGGGATCCCAGCCGCCTTCCAGCTTTCAGACTGACGTGACAACAATTTAAGAGCTGTAAGAATTGGGAATGGGGTTCAAGACCATTTCTGATGGTATTTCCAGATAGAGAATCTCTTTCTCTGGCTGGCTGGAAAAGGCCAACATAATTTGGGGGCAAGTGGGTGAAAAAGGTCTCTCTCTGGCTGAGCCCTGGGAATGATCAGAATCACTAGACATCAAAGCAAATCACTAGACATCACCCATTACTCTCTTTGACTGCCTCCCCCTCCCCAGTGCTCTTTCTGACCATCCCAATTAAAACCGAATGAACCTCGCTAAACGCAGACACTTTTCATCCCAAACCAGGAGCGGTGGAAGAAGCCCCAGGCACTGGGTGAATGACGGAGCCTCAGTTGTGGAACGACCATTTATTGAGGGGCCCTCCATGGAGCCTAGAGCTCACTGCAAGGCAGGAAATGCGAGGGGGCTCTGCCACCAACCCCCTACCCCAACGCAGGAAAGAGGACGCAATGAATCCCAACAAGACCAGCTCAAACTTGGCTTTGGAAGCACTGAAGCAGTTCTCTACGTTCATAAACAGTCTGCTACCCCAGCCAGGGACAGACGCTTGCTTGGAGGACGGAGCCCAAGCAGAGAAGCAGAATGACAGAGTGACAGGATGAGAGAGGCAGAGGGACCCAGAAAGATCCTGTCCCCCATGCCAAGTGACACAGAAGAAAAAAACAATGCTGGAGGTGGCTCTGGGAAATGCTCAGGGGGTAGGATGGGTTTGGAAGGGGGGGCTGTGCTAAGGTGAAGAGGGGAAGGGCAGGAGAAAGATGGCGGGGGCTGGAGGGGGGAGGGGTGTGGTCACCAAGTGGCCAAGGTCCCTGCGCGGTAGAGGCAGACAGACCCCATCGCATTCCCAAACTGGCAGAAACATGGGTCGGGGTCAGGCAGAGGATCCCATAGGCGACAGAAGTGAGTGAGGAAGTGGGGGGATTAGAATCTGGGGAGAGGGGCCAGGAAAGGAGGGGGTAGGCTGGTGACAGGGCCCCATGTGGGGCCCCAGCGGTCATACGTGCCATGGTTGGCAGTGACAGCTGGGGGGGAGCACGGTCTTTGCAGTGTGGGGCGGCCCTAGGGGAAGGGGACCCCTACAGGGGGTACTCTGCGGGCCCGCGGGCCCCAGCCTTGGACAGGCCGGGGCAAGGGGCGCTGGGGGGTAGGCAGAGAGGAATGGGGGGGCCCCGTAGGGGGAGGGGCCAGGCGATGATGGACAAGGCCAGGACTGGCAGCGCAGGGCCGGGATCGGGGTCACGGCCGGGGCACTCACCGCTCTCCTGCTCGCTGCCCTTCTTGGCGGCGGCGGCGTTGCCCATCGCGGCGGCGGCGGCCGGGGCCGGTGCCGGAGCTGCGGCGCGGCGGGTGCTGGCGGCGGCCGGAGCGCGCTGGGCGGCCGCGGCGGCGGCCCTCGGGCTGGCTGCGCTAGCTGCGGCGCCGCGACCCCCGCCCAGCCCCTGCTTCCCGCGTCTCTCCGCGCCCGCCCGCCCGGGAACCTCAGCCCAAGATCTCTGCTGCTGTCCGTGACGCCCCCGCAGCCCGCCGCTCATTGGCCTAGGCCGCCCTGACTGACGGCTCCGCGCCGCCGCCCATTGGCCCTCCCGCGACCTTCTCGCGCCGCTATAGGCTCTCAATCTCGTGACGTCACCGCGGACTCTCGGCCATTCACGCGCTCGTGAGACCGCAGCTGGGCGGGCAGACGCGTCCTATTGGCCAAGGCGCTGGACTGGGCCCGGGGTCCGCCCCGCGAGGCCGCCGATTGGCGGAGGTGCCCTGTTCGACAAGCCCCCAGCAGAACGCTCAGTGTCAATCCGGGGGTGAGAGGGCGGGGCAGAGGCGCAGTCTGCGGGCCCGGGCCGGCGGGGCGGGGCGGCGGAGGCTGGCGGGCGGCCGCGCAGCACTCCGAGGCTCAGGAGGCGGCCCCGGCGGGCGCCCGGCCGGCCCTGCGCGCGCCGCAGTCCCCCGCCCCCGCTCAGTGCGGCAGCGGCTGTCGGCCAGCCGGGGTTGGCGCCGCGGCCTGCCCGGCGCAGCCGCTGACCACCTGCCAGCGGGGGAGGGGCGCGACCAGCGCGCGGGTCAGAGGTCGCCCGGCCGCCGCCGGCGTCATTCATAAGGCCTGGCGCTGGGCAGCCGTGGCCAGGCCTGCTTGGGGGCCAGGCCGCTGGGCCTCCTGGGTTTTCCCAGCCGCAGTCAGGAGGATGCCGGGCCCGGCGCAAGGAGTGGCTGGGAAGGGGCGCTCAATGTCCACCCCTTTGCTGGGTCCTAGCCCTGGGCTCCTGCCAGTAGTAAGAGCTGGCACCCACTTAACGCTCCTTCGCACCACACTCCCATCGCGTAGGTGCTACCATCATCACTCCCATTGCACAGATGAGGAATCTGGGGTACAGCCAGGCAGATTCCCTGCTCCCATTCCCCGTCTGTATTTCCTGTCGGCAATGCAAAGGGAACCTGCCCCTTCCTTCGGGATCCTCTTTCAGTACACACTTAGCCGAGGACAGTCGGGGTTTCCCAACTGCGACATTACTGACGGTGGGGCTGGATCATTCTCTGCTGGGGGGTGTCTTGCGCACCACTGGGTGTTGAGCAACATCCCCCGCCTGTACCCACTGGATGCCAGTAGCCCCTCCTCTTTTCCTGCTGGCTGTGGCAACCGCTGTCTCCTGACATTGGTGAATGTGCTCTGCGGGGCCGAACTGCTCCTGATTGAGAAGCACTTAAGAGAGGGTCAGGGGAGGGGAGAAGTCAGGTCACCCCGACACGGAAGGGCTAGCTGGGCTCAACTGCAAGCCGATCTGCTGCTTAGACTTGAACAGCCTACGCCCTCTCCAGCTGCTGTCTGCACCCATGTTCCCAGATCAACCATGGTTCCAGGGAGGGAGAGTCAGAGCCTTTCTGTGAATTATGCGAAAATGGCTGACCACTCGGCCTCTGGATGGTTACATGGTTAAGGTTTAGTAAAATTTAATAAAAGCATTGCTGTTTGTGTGTTGGGATCACGATGTTAATTTCTTCCTGTGGGTCAAGGGCAGTCTGAAAAATCACTGATTATAATCTATCTGCAGGACAGCTGGTTTGCTTAAATTTTGACAAAAACCTCTTCTGGAACCTCAGTCTGGAATACTGTAGAACCAATTAAGACTGGAGTAGGAAGCTGGGAAGAAGATATGGGACAGCCCACCCACTGGACAGGTCAAGAGACCACTTCTGGGGGAGAGTGGACAAAGTTGCTTCAGTCCACACAAGACAAAAGCACAAACAATCATTCTAAACGAAGTGCTTTTAATTTTCAGACCAACCAAACATTTTTAATATAAAAACATTTTAATAATATACAAACAGCAATCACAACAGCATCCACATGGCAGCAAGGGGACCAGGGCACAGAGAGGGAGAGCAGGCTGGGGAGGGACGGTTTTCAGGGTCCCAGTTGCTTCCCTGGCTTGAAATCACCCTGGTCCTAGCCGAGAGAAGATTAAGGCTGCCAGAAGCAGAGGGTCCCTGACGCCGACCCAGAGACAGACTGCGCAGGCAGGCCCTCTGACACCATCTTCCAACCAGAAAAAGCCAGATCCATTTAGGAGATAACAGGAAGGTGGCTGTGATTGACAGGAAAGGCAACATGGTTCCTCAGCATCCTGCTGATCACACCTCTGGGAGCAGAGTTTTCCAGGGGCTGCTGGATTGAAGAGGACCTAAGAATCTTCCTGGGAGCAGGACAGAAATGGGATCTAAGTCTACCTACTAACCAAGATTCCTGCCTGTGACACCAGAAAGCTGGAGTGGATCTGCTCAGTGTACGGGAAGAGAAAGGAATGACAGAACCTTTGGCTCAGCAGGACCAGAGCCTTGACGGGCACTGACCAAGAAAGCCTCTAGGCAGGCCAGGGAGGTCTGTCGGAAAGCTTTGGGTCAGTGGTACTCAGGGGTGCACAGTGGCACAATGGCCTTAGGTAGAATTTATGAAGACGAAAAGAACACAAGTCAGAAAGAATTTAGAACTGAAGTACCTGCTTCTTATAGGCCTGTACAGGAAAAGCGAGATCATCCTTCTGGCCAGGACTAGAGGAGTCCCGAGGCCTGTTCTTTCCTAGGGGCTGAGTTTGACAGACCTGGATGCAGCTGACGGCCCCCAAAGTCCTCTAGATGGGCCCTGCAGGACTTGCTGGGAGGCCTGGTTGCCCCTCCTGGTGTGCTGGGACACTGGGTTCCTGCAGTTAGATGCAGTCCATGGAGTTCTCAGGGAGGAGGCCAGGGATGCAGCCAGGGAGGCCCAGGCCCTTGATAGGAGTGCAGTTGAGTGGGAGGCTGCAGCCCAGGGAGGGGTCCTGGGTCTCTATGGCCTCCAGCCTGTCCGTGTTGTTGTCCCAGTTAATGTGGAAGCGGGTCACCCGGGGGTTCGAGGCCAAGATGTTCCGCTGGAGCTGGGGCAGAAAGAGGAACGTCAACCCTTGTTGACATGCCCTCTCCTTGCTCCCATAGAGCCAGGACACCCCCAATCACCCATCTGAAGCCCAGCAAGAGCAACCCACATATGGAACTCCAGAAAACACCTGTGCACCATGATTTAGGGCTAGGACCTATCTTTTTGTTTTTTGAGACGGAGTTTTGCTTTTTTTGCCCAGGCTGGAGTGCAATGGTGTGATCTCGTCTCACTGCAACCTCCACCTTCCGGGTTCAAGCGATTCTCCTGCCTCAGCCTCCTATGTAGCTGGAACTACAGGTGCATGGCACTATGCCTGGCTCATTTTCTTATTTTTAGTAGAGACGGGCTTTCATGTTGGCCAGGCTGGTCTCGAACTCCTGACTTCAGGTGATCCGACAGCCTCAGTCTCCTAAAGTGCTGGGATTACAAAGTGTGAGCCACTGCACCTGGCCCAGGACCTATCTTTTTTTTTTAAGGGACAGTCTCTGTTAGCCAGGCTAGAATGCAGTGGCATGATCTGAGCTCACTGCAGCCTCAAACTCCTGGGCTCAAGTGATCCTCCCACCTCAGCATCCAGAGTAGAGTACTCCACCCATGTCTGGCTCATTTTCTGAGGTGGGGAGGGGGTAGGGACAGGGTCTCGTTATGTTGCCCAGGCAGGCCTATCTAATCTTAATTCTCTAAGACATGCCTTTGAGAAACAAAGGCCTTTTTCTCCTATTCTAACTCAGTACTATAAGAACTGAACATTACTTGAAAACCTTAAGAAGTAACCTTGACTCCCAATTTGAATGGCTGAACTCCCCCCCAAGTATAAAGAATGGCCTTGTGGGAAGCAGGAAGTGGAAACAGGACCCACCTGGGAGAAATCTGGCTTCATGGGTGGGTTCTCACGCAGCTCAGGGTTGAGGTACTCGTTGTTGACATAGTAGCCTACTCGGATGAACTCCTGTCCGTGGTAGGTACAGGTGATGAGGACTACGGTCACACCCACGGCATCAGTCTCTGGGATGAGGGATGGGTTGGGGGCATCAGCCTAGGGGAGACACATCCTAGGCCTTAGCAGTGCCACAGCCATGCCTCTATGTCATTAGTAGAAACATTCCCAAGCAACATGTATTTACTGAGCAAAAAGTATGCTCTCTGCCCTCAGTTTTCTTTTTTTCAACCACTGCCTCTCGGGTTCAAGCAATTCTGCCTCAGTGTCCCAGGTAGCTGGGACTACAGACGCACACCACCACACCCGGCTGACTTTTTGTTTTTGTTGGTTTTTTTTTTTTTTACATGGAGTTTTGCTCTGTTGCCCAGGCTGAAGTGCAATGGTGGGATCTCAGCTCATTGCAACCTCCATCTCACAGGTTCAAGCGATTCTGCTGCCTCAGCCTCCCGAGTAGTTGAGATTACAGGCGCCTACCACCACGCCTGGCTAATTTTTGTAGTTTTAGTAGAGTTGGGGTTTCGCCATATTGGTCAGGCTGGTCTTGAACTCCTGACCTCAAGTGATCCACCCATCTTGGACTCCAAAAGTGTTGGGATCACAGGCATGAGCCACCACCCCCAGCCTTTTTTTTGTTTGTTTGTTACGGAGTCTTGCTCTCTCTCCCAGTCTGGAGTGCAGTGGCGTGATCTCGGCTCACTGCAAACTCTGCCTCCAGGGTTTACGCCATTCTCCTGCCTCAGCCTCCCAAGTAGCTGGGACTACAGGCACCTGTCACCACACCAGGCTAATTATTTTGTATTTTTTAGTACAGACGGTGTTTCACCGTGTTAGCCAGGATGGTCTCCATCTCCTGACTTCATGATCCGCCCGCCTCGGCCTCCCCAAGTGCTGGGATTACAGGCGTGAGCCACCGCGCCCAGCCTACACCCAGCTACTTGTTTTTATTTTTTCTAGAGATGGGGGTCTCGCTATGTGGCCAGGCTGGTCTGGAACTCCTGGCCTTAAGCAATCCTCCTGTCTCTGCCTCCCAAAGTGCTGGAAGCCACCACACCCGGCCAGAATCTACATTTGACAACTCAGGCAGGGTGCTGCATGAGATCCACTTGGGAGTTACAGTCTATCCTCATTCATTATTCATGGGGTCCATATGTGCAAGTTCACCTACCTGCTACATTTATTTGTAACCCCAAGATGAATACCTG